TCTTATTTTCAGAGTCATCTTCTAGGTATACCTAGTTATTGGCCTTTGCTTCTCTGTCCCAGGATCCAACTAGCTACAGTTATTTGGCTCACAGCCTATTTGGCCCAGTAACACTTCTTCAGGAATTGGGTACATTACTGTATATGATCCTCAGGCAATTCAGTAAATGGCATATAGAAAAAAACAATTGCAACAACCATGTCACCTTTACTGAAGTAGTAAAATTGGCAACAACAACATCAAATACAAACTAGATATTAAGAAGCCCTAAGAACTAATAATGTACCACCCTCAAGCATAGAAAAGAAATCCATACTTAGAGCATAAACTCTAAGACAAACCAGATATTGATCTACAGTAAACATCTACTCAACATAACAACTTTACCTCCATTAACAATAGAACACTGATCAAATGTAGTAAGATATAGTTAACTACAGATTCATAAAGCTAATGGTTATACTAGTGATAGGAAAATCTTTTAAAGAAAAAAAAAAACCTAGGAAATGTCACAATGTAAGATAACTTCCACCCTTTGCTCTGTTAGTTCAGAATTAACTGACATCAGAGGCATCTAGTCTCCCTAAAAAGTTTTGTAAATGAAAAGAACCATTGTTAGCTTTGCTGAGCAAACACATCCCCTTCAGCTGGGCTAGAATAGATAAATAAATAAATTTTAAAGATAACCTCCACTACCAAAGAAATGAAACTTCCAGGTTTGAAATTCAACTGCCTGATTACCATGTTTTGAATATCAGCAATGTGAACTGTGAAAATGGAATGTAACCAACTAAGTGAGATCAAGGCTGTAAAACTCTATAAAAGAAGGAGTTGTAACCCAATGGGGGAATCCATCAGGTCGCCACCATTAGGTGTCATCGATCCCCATCGATGGAGTAAATTTTTTATTTCACTTCCATTCTGCTGCCTCTCTGTGTGTCACTTGCCAATTCCTTCTGTAACACTAGTAAGGAGAGAAGCTGTGCGCAACAGGAGCACAAGCAAAGTAGAATTTGAAAAATTAAGCAATGGAAGATGGGAAGGAGATAAAATTGAAATGAAGGTTACTATTAAGAAGTAAAAGGAGCACCAGAGTTCTGCCATACCATCAAAAGTGTGTGCACACTCCAGGGAGGAGCTGTGTAGACCAGAATGGTGAGCTGCAGGCAGGTCTCAACTAGGATCTCACACCACCCTGACCCCAGAGGTGTAGGCACACATACCTGAGCCATAGCCCAGCTAGAAAAAACTTCACAGGCATGCAAGCCTCAAGCAGAGTCCCACATACCACTGGCAACAGCCAACGACCCACCTGGAAAAGAACTACACAAACGCACAAGCAACAGCCAGAGGCTCACCCAATACCACTGATAAGTGTCTGAAGACCCTAGTCAGAAACCTACAGAGACAACAGGAACTGGGATACACAGGCCCAAGCCAAAGACTCACCTCATAAAATGGCGAAATAAGGGTCCCAGTGAGAGGCACACGTAGATACCATCCCAAGTGTGCACAAACCCCACCCAGAATCCTGCCCAGACAGCAGGTTACTTCAAGGATATAGAAGGCCATCATTCTAAACAGAGGAAATGGTGTACTGCGGAGCAGCAGAGAAAGGCCTCTTGGTGGCTTACTGTGAATTAAAGACCACTGGGTGAGAAAAAGTTGTTTTGATAAAGGCACAGCAGGCTGCATCTGTTGAAATAAGACATGGAAAGAAGTCCCAAAATCAGACTTCCAGATCAGCTAAGGCAACCCCAAAGAGAAACAAGATGGAACAGTCTGATACTCAGCTATCTGGACTTCCTGAAATAGCAACAAAAAAGGACCTGGAAAAAAATGAAATCAGAAATAATTTCTCAGATAACAGCACAGATTGAGCCTAAAGTGCAAGATATGATTAATAAATCTAGAGCCGAAACAGATAAAAAAAAAACAGAGGAGCTGATTAACATGATGGAATCCCAACATACAAAACAAATGAAATCCATGAAACAGATGCAAAGAGATTTCCGGGAGATTAAAAACTCTTTCAAAAGTTTATGCAGCAGAATAAGCCAATACAAAGGTAGAATTTCAGATATAGAAGAGAGGATTGCAGTTAGTAAAGAGTAAAAGAAAAAAAATCTCTTAAAAGTAAACTTTGTCCCCACATTATATGTTGCCTCTTAGCTCTGTTGGTGGTTTCTGTTGCAGTGCAGAAGCTTTTTAATAAGATGAGATCCCAGTTGTTTATTCTTTGGAAGCAGATTAATTATTATGCATCTATGAAATAGTTTTCTTTGTTTTGTTTTATTTTGTTTTTGGTACCAGGGATTGAACTCAGGACCTTGCACTTAAGAGGCAGGTGGTGGAACCACTGCGCTAAATCCCCAGCCCTATGAAAAAGTTCTATAAAGTAAAGTACTCTCTTTAATGTTAATCATGTCTCTGTTGTAAGTGTAAATTTTAGTTTAGGTCTTCACAATATCTAAAGAGCTGCAACATTGCTTTTGTTGATCTAGGATGTATTAAATACTCTAGTCCAGCATAATAATAATTCATCTGGCAACACCCCCATTTCAGGCTGTTTTTCCCCTGCTGCTCTTGAACTGCTGAACAATTTCTTAAGAAAACTGCTTAAGTAGGAAGATTGCTTTTACTTTAATTTCATGATGCCAATCCTCAGTGAAGCATTAATCACTTCCCAGTAAATACTGAAAATTACTGGAATTTTCTAGGAAGCCCACTCTTTTATCCTCCTACAAGTCTATTTCCCATCTTCTTCTCTCCGAGGCTACTCAAGTTTCCCCTTCTAGCCATGAAGCTATAACAAAGACTGGACTTAAATTCCTGTCAAAGGCAACTATAAAACTGGACAAAATATAGAAAGCAATTGTTTTCAGATATTGGAATACAGATAACACAGTACTGTGATACCTGAGCAAGTAAAAAGACATAAGTTAATAACATGATTGCCCCAGATTTCTGCCTAGAAGTGATGTCCAGATCCTGGACAAAGGAAACTAAACTCAGTGTCTGGGCACCTGGACAAGTTGAGAAGATAGTAGATCAGAGTTCATAGATGTTGGGGTAGTTGGAATTTTCAGACAGTTTTGGAAAAGATAAAGTTGTGCAAATAAAATGGCAAAATCAATGGAATGGACCACATAAACATGAGTGTTTGCTAAGTACTTAGCTTTGCATGCCTGGATTGAAAATTCACACTGCTATGTATAGACTGGGGAGTTCTAAGCTAAATGATTCTCAGATTTCAGAGAAAATGGAAAGGTATTAAAGCTCTGAGCACCCAGAGTGATGTTATGGTCAAGATTTAAAATGCCTCCTAAAAGTCTTATTTTCAGAGGTGGGGCTTTTGGACAGTGACTGGGTTGTAGGAACCCTAATGGGTTGATGAATTCAAATCTGAATGTGATATTAGGAGATGGGGCCTGGTTGGAGGTGATTGGTCACTGAGGGTGTGACCTGGCAAAGTATATATTTTTTTCTGACTCCTGTGCCCTTTGCTTCCTGGCTGCCATGAGGTGAGCAGCTTTCCACCATGGTGTTTCTGCCCTGGAGCTGGCACATGTGCTGAACTCTCCAAAACTGTGAGCAGAAATAAACTTCTCCTCCTTTATGTTGTGGGTGTTGCATATTTTGTCCCAGCAAAGGGAAAGTAACCAGCACACATAGAAGTCCTCAAGGAAAACCAAGGAATTCATTAAAGACTGCTGTGCCTTTATTACTTAGTGTAGGAAAAAAATTACCCCCGGAGTGAAGCCTGTTGTAGACTTGTGCTAGTAAATATATTTCTCAGAAGTCGAGCTGACTGGCAAATAACTGGCTGGAGAGGGAAAAAAAGCTCAACACTCTTTAGAGGTAAACCACATAGTTCAGATATTCAATGAGGACAACATTCACACGTCAGGCATTCAGTAAAAAATGATTAAACATTATAAGAAGCCCAACTAATTTTTTTCTTAAAAGTTTAGGAAAAAGAAAAATAGGCACCTTCCTGTATAAAAGTTTGACAGTCTCTGGCATCTTAAATTCACTAAGTCTTAAGGAATTAAGTCTTCAAAATGCTTAAAGCTTTACCTGTTTCTTTGAATAAAAACATTCAATAACACAGAGTTAATTTTCTCCATCACAATTGGTCACCCCTATTATTTTTATTTCAAGTTAAACCCACAATTTTATGTAGATCGCTAATTTGGTGTTCTGAAAACACTGAACATGGATTCCCTTCTGATGAAACTGAGAGGGCTCTCGTGCTCCTTTTTCTCAAGGTAAATATACCCAGTTCCTTTTCTCTTTTCCCTGACAGGATTATTCTTATCATCCTTTGAATGTACTCTGTTTTCTCTTTAAATGCCATTACTGCCATGTTAAAATAAGGAACAGTCTTCTACAAACACTAGAAGCCTACAAATCATTGGAATATAAAATTTGTTTTCATAATGATTTTGTCAATAATAATATTGATAAAGGCAATAACAATAGTATTTGAAATTAATCGATCATCTTATCTACCCTGGACATTGTCATACGTTTCCTGAGGATTATCGCATTGTCAGAACAATTCTATGAGGTAGATATTACACGAGTGTCACAGAGAAAATACAGATAAGCAATATGAAAACAGTAACAACTTACTGATGATCATATAAATGCACATATATGCTTCTTTAGTGGGTCGTTTTCTCTTCTGACATTTTGGAATACCCTGTTACAGACTTCCTTTGAATAACAAGACACTAAATAAAGCTGCATTATTTTTTACTTTTTAAAACTAGGTACCTTTATAAGAACTCCATTAACCCTTAAGTTTTTTCTATTCTCAGGAGTTGCCTCCTCTCACATTCTTCTCCTCCCCTTCTTATAAGTTCCCACGTTAGCAAATTAACATCCTTGTTTAAGGAATTGCGTGTTTGACAACCTTGAGTACTGAGATGTACTTTTGTTTTTTCCCTTTAATTCCCCGCCCATATCCGGACCCGCCCCCTCCTGCCTCAGCGTCCTATCTCCATGGTAACGCCACACCCGCACCGCCAGGCGAGGACGCCTGAGTGGGATCCGGTAGCCAAGGCTTCCGCTTTCTACTCTAGCCATGGTCGGCCCTCTGCGGGTTCTGCACCCTTGAACTGCAAGGGCACTCCTAGGGGAGAGGAGCGCGCTGCTGTAGGGAGAGCAGCTGAAGTACCCAGCCGCCCCTGAGCTTAAACAGCTGTCACTTCCGGCCTGGCGCCGGGGTCCGCAGGTCAGACCTCCAACCCGACGCGCTCTGGCCCCTGAGCCTTCGGGTCTTTAGGATCATGGGTGAGGGCGGCCAACAGTCCTTGGATTCCAACCTACGGTTTCTGTTACTGGGTCTTTTCAGCGCTGGGGATTGAACCCAGGACCTTCGTACTGAACTACATCCTTTTTATTTTTTAAAAATTTGAAACAGGGTCTCTCTAAAATGCCCAGATTGAGTTCGAATAAGTAATCCTCCTGCCTTCCCCAGTGCTGAATTATCGGCCCAAACTACTATTCTAAGCGTTTGCCTTAGGCCGTACATTCTAGCCACTCCTTGTATAGACATATAAGGTCCTCACCAACCCCGAAAGAAATAACAGTAGTGTTTTTTTCGTTTGAAAAAGTGCCTCGTAATAAGGTGAAGCAAGTGCCCCAGGTCTCATAGCTAGACAGTGGTCAGGTCACAATGGAATTCAGGCAAACCGGTCTGACTGGACTGAACACCCAAAGCTGCTTTACCCATTCCCCAGAATGCTGCTGATGTTAGCTCTGCCTACCTCGTATTGCCTTTGTTATTCTCCACCTGCGGAGTTCCTTTGTGCTTTGTAAGCAATAGGAAAATCAGGAAGCTTGATTAAAACCTGCTACTCTTCCCTGATTTATAATAAATGAAGTTGATGACCAGGAGTTCTTTTTTCCCCATGATGTGTAACTCTCATAATATGTTTTGATGGGGGGGGCTTTACGTTTTAATTAGATGTAATTAATATTCCAATTTGGATGTACAGAAAAGAGAATTTAGATTATCTGAGCAAAAACTTTTTTCTCTGAAATTCTCTTACAGTTATGAAAGGTCATTTAGTCAATGCATTTTCTCTTTCAAGCTGCACAGTGCTTGAAATGTTGGGTTGGGCTTCTTGTCCCCCCCCATACTGCTTATCCTTCTTTTTAAATTTAAAAACACCATGATATAAATTTACTTTTGATGGCTACCATCATTTAAGTAAAGAGAAAGTAGTTCAATCATTTGAAGTCCCAGTTGCTTTTGCTGCCTTCAATAGTGTCTTTTATTTTAAAAAACTTAATGAAAATACAGAAGGGATCCAGATATTAATAGTTAAGTAGTAATAAATTAATAAATAATATGACTCTACAAATATAATAGTGGAAAAATCTAAAGAAAAATATATCAATGCAATTATAAAAACTAATAAATTTTATTTAGCCAGAATGCCTCCCACTCAAGCAGAAAGTGTCGTAAAGAACATCATACGAGAAATAGGACAAGAGTGTGCAGCCCATGGGGAGGTTGTTTCTGAAACTCTGGTTGCTTTTATGGTAAGAAAGACTATTTGTGCAAATGATTTCTTTATTAGAAATGTTTAAAATTCTGCCAAGCATCCCTAGATGTGTTTTGGCTGAAAACATTGAAATAACGGGACAAGTTCATGAAAATATCTTTCAAAAGTCTGTAAAGCATCTCAGTTGTAGATTTAGAATGACTAATTTAGAAGCTCTTGATGAGTCTTAGCAACATCAGTAATGCTGTGCTGTGAGGAATTTCTAATATTTTTGTTCATTGTTAAAATTACTTATTGCTGTGCTTTCTCTTTTCTTGCTTTGGTTAACAATACATAATGAAAAATGATAAAATATATTACAGTTTTCCAATGTAAAATCCCACTATTGCTTTCAACCCTTTTCCTCCATATAATTTTTCTAGTACCATGTTCAAGTTTAGTTCATGTTTCCCTTTCATCAACCTCTAATGAAGGTTTAGGTAATCAGAAAAATAGTTGAAAATTCAATCAAGAGATAATCGTTTAAAAATGGGAGGATATTAACTTAAATTCATAATAATATGAAAAAATTAATGGATTCTTTCCTACTCTCAGGTGAAAGCTGTTGTTCTGGATCCAAGTAATGGATTTAACATAGATAGAACCCTCATGAAAACTGATGTGCAGAAACTCGTTAAGGTGACTGTCTAATGACCATAAAGATTGGAATTAGTTATTTACCATATAAAACACAGTAAATAAGGAATTTCTTTTTTCTCTTAAAGTCTGGAGATACATAGGTTGTTCTTCCTGGCTTCCTGGGGTACCTCCCCCTGCATGTGTCTTGCATCCTATGGTCATAAGATAGCTTTTATACCTACAGGCAGAAAGAAGGGGGAAAGCAAAGAGGAAAAAATGTAACAATTGGATTTGTCACTTTCTACCCAGAAAATAATAGTTTTCTCAGAATCCCTCAAATCTGTATACATTTATTGGCCAGAATGGTATTGTAACTTACTTTGGGACACCACCCCCGCTTCTTTCATAGGTAAGTCTTTGCCCCAGTCCAAATTAGATTGTTACTAAGAAGGGCAGGCCATAGCTATCTGGAAAGTAGCAGTATTTGCCCAAGTATTTTTGTGATATCTTTTTATTTATCTGTGACATTGAGAACATTATAAACTGGTTTGCCATATGCTGATGCTGTTAGTTAAATGATTCTAAAATAAGATTCATATAATTAGTTTAATTTATGTTCTTCAATTCTAAAGGAAAAATGAAAATCAAAGCACAATAATCTTATAAGTAGATATGCCTGAAAATCCATTTTAAAAACTAAAGAACTTTAGATATATGTTGTTCATGTATTAAATTTGGCTCACTGAATTGAATAATCAATGTTTTTTTTTTCTTCTGGCCTTAGTGAATTTAATTCCCTTTTTCATGTAAAGGGCTTGGAGCAAGCTTTTCTAAACTTACATGTGGACATTCTTTGGGCTCATGAAAATGATAGAGAAAAATTTCATCCCTTCCATCTTCCCTCACAACCAACACCTCATCTAGTGAAAAGTAGAGTTGTCTACAGATGCTTCAGAGGTCAAAAAGAGATCTGGAAGCCTGGAGCCAGGGCATATGTTGTTAAGTCTGCAATAGTGACTCCATGATATCGCAGGCCAGCCTAGAGCTGGGTTGCTCTGAGCTGGTTTTAAATGTGGTATAAATCCTGTTCTTAGCCACGAATAGGGGAAATGACTGTGATGGTCAATCAGAAATTTTATTGGCAAGCCATGGAGGAGACTCAAGTGGGACAAAAAGTAACATTTTCTCCTTTTCACAGCTCCAGAATAGTTCTTTCTGTCTCCCCAACTCAACCAAGCTGGAAAGAATCAAGCTCTTTTTGCAGTACTGGGTTTCAACCCTGGGCCTTTGCACTGAGTTACATCTTCAACTCCCACCCCTTTTTCTTTGTGAGATAGGGTCTTGCTCAGTCACTAAGCTTGCGATCCTCCTGGCTCAGTCTCTCAGCGTACTAGGGTTACAAGTGTGTGCCACCATGCCTAGTGTCAACATATTTTTAATGTGCACAGGTACAGAAACTCTCAGTGTATAATTCAAGTTACCAGAAATGTTTCCTTTTTATCAATTAAAAGTCATGTGGGTGAACTAATCTTTTTATTTGTAAGTCTACTTTTAGAACAATACCGACTTTTCTACTAGGAGGGACCGAGGTTCACAGGTTTCCTTAAAGATAGAATGTTCTCACTCTTACATTCTACTGAACTAAGTCCCCAGATCTTTAGTTCTTATTTTGAGACAGGATCTCCTGAGCTGGCTTCATAATTGCTATCCCCCTGCCTCTGCTTCATGAAAATGGCAGGGAAAATTTCGTTCCTTCAAACTTCCCTCATGAGTAGCTGGGGTCACAGGCATACACTATGCCAAAAGAAGAAATTTGAAATGGAGGGTAGAGGCAAAGAAATTTCATGAGGAGAAGGCGGTGTTTGCAGCAACATTTTATAAAATGCAGGTGACCTTCAGCATCTGTACAGTGTTGATCCAGACTCAGATAAATAGTAAAGAGTATCTAGAGGAGTTCTAGGCTGACATAAAGGTTCATGGAAAATTTACTCACATTTAGAGTGCTCAGATGAGAACATCAGGCTTCTTGCCCTCAATTAGACTATTAGCCACCTGGGTTAACTCAAGGAAAATAACTTATTACTTAGTACATGTTGCTGGTTGAGTAAACTATAAAGCCTGATGTTCTCAAGGAGAAAAAAAGTAATATTAAAAGGGGCTGTTGGTGGATAAATATCAGGAAACATTGCTTTTATGTTTCTATTTATTTTTTAAAATAACTTAGAAAATACTTGAGCATTTCAGGGAATGTCATCAAATCTTTTGTTGGCTCTTCTTTTCTAGCTTTGTGTGACTCGGCTACTAGATAGTAAAAATCCATCCCTGGACACAATTAAGATGCAAGTCTACTTTGATATGAATTATACAAGTCGAGGTAAGGTATACCTACCCATTTGATAATTTCAAAAAGGGTTTTATATTGTATTTCAGGTAAGAAAGGTATTTGAAAATGACTTCAATGTGTATAATGAAATTAACTTTTTGTCAATCTTTTGAAATATTTTCCAACTTCAATGTATCAGGCAGTTTTCTGTTATTACAGGAAATACCTGAGATAGTAAAAAAGAACAGGTTTATTTTGGCTCATGGTTTGAGGCTCGCTCCATGATCAGTTGGCCTTGTTGCTTCAGGCCTGAGGTGGTACATCGCAGTGAGAGCAAAGCCATTCACCTCTTGGCTGGGAAGTTAAGAAGAGACTAGTGTCCTGCAATCCCCTTGGAGGGCCTACCCCCAGTGGCCCAGGGATCTTCCTCTATGCTGTCCCTCTTCTGGGATCACCACCTCCCAGTGATTCCTAAGACTGGGGATAAAACCGAAACACATACACCTTTGGAGGATACTTAGCAAACTATAGAATTAGAAAAATATAACAACATTGGAAATGCTTAATGAGAAATATACCAGTAGTCTTTGTGAATGTTCAAAGTAATTTAAATTTTTATGTACATAAACATTATGTTTCCGAGCCAGGGATTTAGCTCAGTGGTTCTGCTGCCTGCCTCGCAAGTGCAAGGACCTAAGTTCAATCCCTGGTACCAAAAACAAAACAAAACAAAAAAAACATTATGTTTCCAAGTCTACTGGTTTTTAACCTTTATGGTACTAATACATAATAACTAGAAATTAAAACATTTAGCCAATTGAAGTTAAAAATTTTTAATTTATAGATTTTTCTCATTTCTAGTTTACTACTTCATAATATGTAAATTATGTAGCTACCTAAAAGTGAAATTAATTTAGAATTAATTTAGAATTTCTTACATTATATAAGTAATTTAATGCATATGTCAAAGTCAAGTTGTAAATAAGACTTTTGTTGTAGGACAAAAGGAAAATAAATTCCTCTACACATTGTATCTTTCTCTACTATACTCATTTTTTTATAATTATCATTAATCTGCAATCATTATTAACAATTTGGTCATTTCTTTGTCATTTTTCTCTGTAGGAATTAGAGTTTCAATAATGCTACATATGTAAAATCACATGTATTTTTACATTTTTGCTTAATTCTAATACATTTTAAAGTGGTAAAATAGCTATGAATTGAAGAAATTTATATATTTTTTAATTTGCAAAAAGTTTTCATTTACTTTTGTGGTAAGATTATAGGTATGAACTGTGTGTGTTTGAAATATAATTATTGACCTTGCAAAAGTAATGGGGGATTGTCTTATTGAGTCAGTTACAAGAACTGTACTGCTGGTAAAGATGATCTTCTGCTGCAATTAAACCTATACGTTAGCATATCGTAGGAAGAAAGAGGAAGAATAAAGTTATTGGTGCAATTTCATATTATCAGTAATATTATTCAGAGGAAATTTATCTAGAGGAAAATGTATCAGAGAAAATATATCTAGAAATACATATAATTGGAAAGGAGCATACATATACTATACTACATATATAATTATATGTGCTTATATCACTATAAATATATTATCATATATTTATTATATGTATATATATATATATGTAGTGTGTGTGTGGTATAGAAACAGTCTTTACTTTCTGTTTAATTGGGAAGTTTTAGTCTTTTATGAAACTTACTGTTTAGATTGTTTCAAGTCTTAAGCATTTTAATAAAATATTCTGTTTAAATCTCTGTAGTAAATGTTTCCCACTGGATTTCTGTCTTGAGGTTACTTGGTGGCCACTGATGTTTTAGTTATTACATCCTAAGAAAGTAGTTGTTTCCATGCAGTAGATTTGCCAAGCATTTTTCTCTGGTCCTTATGTGACAATTCCAAACACCAGACTTATGGAATGTTGCTACTTGCCAATTTTAGAGGACTTTCTTGAAGAACATCACCGCGTCCTAGAGTCCCGATTAAGCTCTGTTAGCAGAGAAATTACAGATAACCGAGCAAGTGCTAGAGAAGAATTGGAAAGCCTCTACCGAAAGATCGTCAGCTACGTGTTACTACGCTCTGGGCTTGGATCCCCTACAGACATCAAGATTGTCAGAGAGGCAACAGGTACAAAATAGTAATGATTTCCATTCCATAAGTGAAAATATATGATCACTGTATTTTATAAAAAGCTTAAAATTGAAGTTTCCCTTTTTATCTGAAAAAAAAAATCAGCACAAATAAGTTAAAACTTACCCAGACTTCTTTTAAGCCATGTATTAATTCTATACCTCAAGTAGCACCTCTAGAAAATGAAAAATTGTTCATTTTCTTAGAGTTGTACATTTCCTGGAACCTATTATGCCTTATCAGAGAAACATTGGTAAGAATGTTGAAGGCACTGGGACATCTGGAAAGGGCTGTTTCAAACAGGTGGAAAGAGTAGAGCGTGTCACTGTAGATGATGTTGAAGGGCACTGTTTTATCCTCAGGAAATACTTAACCACTTTCACAGTTTAAAATGAGGAGAAGGCAAGATGTCCAGCCTGCTTGTGCTTTCTTCCATAATTATTTTAAAGCATAGTTTTTCTACTGAGAGCCGCATTTAGAAAGTTTGTTTTAATGTCCACTGCCAAAAAATACTGATGCATGAGGCAATGGCATTATTTTTAGTAGTCCACCATTGAAAGATGATAAATTTTGCTATGTAGTCTATTATCAGGTACCAGAAATTTAAAGAATCACTAGAAAACAAGTCTTTTAACTTTATGCTGAAAGAAACTTGTAATCTAAGTTCTGATATTTATTCTGTCATTTTGTTTTCCTCTTTTGTGGTTTATTTCAGCTGCCTTACAGAGTGTTTTTCCTCAGGCTGAGCTCGGGACATTTCTAACTCTTTCTAAGAAGGACAAAGAATGCCAGCTGAAAGAACTCACCATGATTGTTACTGGGATTCGCTTATTTAACAGAGATTGTGGGAAAGGAGGAGAAGGCATTGATGATTGTAAGGGTATTATTAGGTTAATTCTAAAAGTTATGTATGTTTAAAATTTAAATTGCACAGTGAGGACAATAATACACAGCATACCATTGGTATTCTGGGGTTTACAATTTGCAGTTTTGATTGTTCCCTATGAATGTCTGCTGTTCATAATTATGTTGTAACTCTTACTATTGCTGAGGCAAGGCTTTATATTTTATGTACCATGAAGCTAGAGTGGAATCAGTTGAATGGAATGTAGGGGTCCTGCCCAGAGGCTCACCTCCCCAGTTCAGTGGAGCTTTATGTTTATTCCAAGTCACCCAAAGAAAGTAAAAACTCTGTAACCTAAAAATAAAAATTACCCTAGAAGGAAAACAGTTGCTAGTACAGTTAATAGAATGAAAAAATCCAAGAGATTATCTGTGTATCTGTAAATTCAGGAGCATCTGTAAGTTCAGGAACATCAAGGGCTGCAGATTTAGCTCAGTGGTGCTGGCTCCTGTCTCGCAAGTTCAAGAGCCCAAGTTCTATCCCCGGTACAAAAAAAAAAAAAAAAAATTCAGGAGCATCGAGTATGTTTTTATATAAATAATACTTTTTTGGTAAGTTTGAAAATATTTATGAAATATTTACTTAAGTATCTACCAGTAGATTAACTCTTTATGTATATGAACTTGGTAGTCCCATAGGCCCATGGATATGGTGTTAATTTCTTTTACCAGATTACTGATCCCTAGATGCTGGATCAATACTAACAGTAGGATAATTTTTCTTCTCATATCAGGATTGAACCCGGGGCCTTGGGCATGCTAGGCAAGTGCTCTCACAGGGTTCTATCTACACCCCTAAGTTTTTCCATTTTAAAAGCTGTTTAAAAAAGTCAAGTTCCCATTCTTCATAAAGTTTCTTTCTTTGCTAGGCCCTCCTATTATTTTTCACCATTCAGATGAATTTCTTATTTAGTATGCTTTATAAATTTGTTTTTATAAATAGAAAAGAAGATATACGAAGGAGAGATCAGTGGCTGTTCTGGAGGCACATAATACCAAAGTCTACCTATTTATTAAACACTTCTATATTTCAGTGAAAACCTGACATGCTTTCACTTTTGGTTATCATTCTGACATTATCTTTTGCATGAACAGGTTCTTTTTGGAGTTTTTTTCTTCACGATGTAGGACCCATGAAACATGCGGGACTCATTATTAGGTTGACTGGGGAAAAAAAACCTAACTCAAAGTAATGCTTAAAATATTAACACTTTATGGGCTTTTTTCTCCTTAATTCTCCTTAGCCTCCTTTATGTCTTCTTATGCCCTTACAAACAGTACCAGCTATTCTCCATGAAGCAATCCCAGCCACCACTCAGTATATTGACTCCCAACTTCAGAATGCCCAGGACCAGTTGTATCATTACACAGCCATCCTTGAGAAAGTAACAAAGAACCCACTCATGGGTAAAGAACTTCAGCAGTATATGATAAAAGAAGCACTATATAATATGCGACAATATGAGATCTTCCTTCAGATCATCTTGGTGAGTTCATTTCACAAGATCTGGACTGCTTTGCATAATGCAGTCTCTTTACAACCAGGTCACTAGTTAAGGGGGCAACCTCGGTAACAGCTCCATGTATTTCACATCAGTAGGGCCAGGAATTAAATTAGAAACAGGAAAGCTGGCTTTTGACTTTAATGCAATTACATTGATAGAAGTTGATTTTTTATTTGTTGATTCTCCTTGGTACCTGATAGTATGGTTATAACACACTGCAGTCAGGTAGTGTCTGTGTCTGAAAGTAATACTGTGGTGTTGTTTTAATTTGTAGCAAGTGCCTATTGTTTGGCAGGTAGTTGACTCTCAGATGATTTTTATGTAATCATTTGTTTTTATTGTAAAAACTGGCAGGAACAATTTTTTTTGGTACCGGGGATCGAACTTGTGTCCTTGTGCTTGCAAGGCAGGCACTGGAATCGCTGAGCTAAATCCCTGGCCCAGGAACAACTTTTATAGCTGCTATTCTTAGACCTAATGAACAAGCCAAGCAATACTCCCCAGAAGTTGGGAAATATGGTTAAATAGTAGTTATAAACTTTTAAAAGGCAACACTACCTTTTCTTCCAGACAGAAACTTACTCAGAACCCTAAAAATATAAAGCAGGTGACATGATGAAGGGATTGGAGGACCCATTTCACTAAGATGTATCCACAGCACACCTTAGGCTTCCAGAGAAGTTTACTAGTGTGTGTGGTCAGGAAAACAAAATTCTCATATCACAGATAACATGGAAAACTTCTGTGGCTTCAAAATATATAAACATTTCTCCACTAGCAAAAAGGAATTTTGCTGGGATACTAGCAGGTTGTCCTCTAATCTGATTCAGATCTGACACCACTATCTACCTGGAGACAGCATCAGTCCCTCTTACTGAGGGCTCAGTCACCAGGACTGCCCTCCAACCCCACTCTAGGTGCCAGTAATCCAAGCCCCAGCTTGGCTTACCTGTCCTGACTGTCCAGCTCTAAACTGGCATGCTTGCAACCCCTTTTTTGGGATTGATTAATTTGTTCAAGTGACTCCCAGAACTCAGGGAAATATTCACTTAATTTTACCAGTTTATGATAAAGAATATTACAAAGGATACTGTTGAGATGCCTAGAGTAAGGGATGGGAGGAAGGATGTGGGCCTTCCTTACTCATGGGTGGTCCACCTTCCAGGAACCTCCATGTACTTGGTCATCTGGAAGCTCTCTAGACCCTGTCCTTTTGGAATTTTATTATAACTTCACTGCATTGGCATGATTGCTGGTTGGCTGGGTCAGGGGAACCCAGGAAGCCTTGCCTATTTAATTTCTTCTTGGCCTCTCTGTGCAGTGTTTTTCCTCTAGGATATATTAAAGAGCTCCCTCCACACACCCTTGAATCAGGAGAGTCTTGTGACTTACTGTTGGGCAAGGAAAGATCAGAGTTTCTATGACCTGCCTTGAGAAAGAGAAATTCTCCTTTCTATAATTTGCCTTGGGGAGGGAGTTATGAGCCAGGAACCATAAATTAAAACATATATGTGTGTGTGTGTGTGTGTGTGTGTGCATGTGTGTGTGTGTGTGTGTATCCCTAATGTCACAACGACATGAGAGCCATATATCCCATTAGTCACTGTTTATCTTTACAATAGTCTCTACTTTCCAGTAACTGATACTCAGAGGGTCAGAGGAACTGTCTTTTATATAAATGGATGCTAATATCTTGAGGGATAGAATGGAATGTATTCTCTACTCCTCTTTTTAACTTATGTCTTAATTAGTTGATGCTATTTTTGGATGTACTTAGCCTGTCCTCTTTCCTTCCTGGCTATGCAGAATAAAGAGATAAACGTCCTGATAACAGCATGTCATGGCAACAAACTAGGGGTAGTGGTTGTAACTGTTCTACTACTTAATTATTACAAATCACCCTGATTGGTAAATGTTCCCTCAACATTGACTTCAGCCTTATGTAGCTACTTAAATACCAAGGAGGTTTTTTTAAATCATTTGCATTAAAATGCAGAATGAGTCCACAGGAGTAGAACCTTACTTTTGCTTTTGCTATCTTCATTTGTAGAGGTTACTAAAAGAGAGAACCTTGAGAAAACATAATGCATACTATAGAAATGTTGCAGAAGATGTCATTTATTATAGAGTGTTTTCTTCAAACTTTTAATCATGAATCTTTTTTTTTCTATTTTTTAATTAAAGATTGCAAACATACATGATAACAAGAAATGAAGATACTAAATAAAAATTTCAAATATACATATATATGACAGCAAAAAAAGGATATGAAATAAATAAGAATTTATTTAACAGACTAATCGAAATACATTAGTTTGATATGATCTTCAAACATTATATTCTTACTCATTTTCCTATATTTTTGAAATAATGTAATTATAAATAAAACAAAGTTACATATTATAGTTGAGAAACTGTCCTCAAAATTTTATGATTTATAAACTCCTTGGTTTTATTAATTGATAAATATCATATACTTGTTGATTGTACCACTTACATTTTCTAACAAAACTTCCCACAGAAAAAAATATACTTACATTTGAAATCCAAAAGCAACTAAGAAAAATTCACATTTTTAAGATAAAATTTTTCTGTTTCTATTATTATTATATCCCATACTTATTTTTATTATATTTTTATAAGCATAATGATAGAATTTAACATCAATAGATATGTAATATTCTTCCCAAACGAATGACTATGAATTAAGTCAAATATGTAATTTAAAGAAATCATAAGGTTGCCAGAGAAACTATCAATATGCCAAATGTGCACAATCCTACCACATTCATGCCCATGTTTCTCATTTGATAGTACACACATATATGTAAAAACATACCCCCCACACATATACACAGTGCATGTTTTCTACAATACAATATATACTTAGGTATAACAAAATAGTTCAGTGATGTGTGGAACATTGGTGATTTGTATACTTTGAGAAAAAACAAATAACATCTTTGAGGGAGGTGGAGAATTTGTAATATGTACCAGATACTAAATGATATTAATGATTAAGTATAGTTTTAATAAAATTTACTTAAAAATTAATATTCATCATCAGTAGAAAATAGGTACAAAGATATATTGATAACATAGCAACATTTGTCTTAACAAATTTCCAATCAGACAAGCTGTAGTGACAGAAAAGGAAGTTTGTAGAAAGCAGATATGAAAGAGGAAAATGACAGATGGATCTTAATACTTTTCATACTACTCATATATACAGATTTCATAAATTCTCAAATAAAAAAGCAAAGAAAATGAGAACCAAAATAACTCATCAATTTGGCAGACCAACATATGGAGACAAGGATTAATATATTGATAAATTTTCAAAATATGAAATGTAAAGCCTGAGATTTAGCTCAATAGCGCTGCACCTGCCTAACCAGAACAATGTGCCTAGTTTAATCCCCAGCATCAGAGGAAGAAAAAGAAAAAGGAAAAAAAGAAGAAAAGAGGAAAAAAAAAGCATATTTTCTGACATACTCAATAAATTAAAAATAAATTATTTGTTATCTCTTCCTCTTGAATTATTCCCTTCACAAGGATGTAGTGAACTTCTCTGTCTATTTCAATCAGTTTAAATTTGAAACTTACTTTGTCTGTGAATAAGATTGCTACCCCTGCTTTTTTGGGGGATGGGGGAGCTCCTCTTACATGAAGTTTTCTGTCCTTTCACTTTCAGTCTATGGGCTTCTTTTTACACTAGACGTGTTTTGTATACAACATATTATTGGATCTTGTTTCCTAATCCATTCTGCTGGTCTATTTCCCTTGATTGGTGAATTGAGACCATTAATATTGATGGTTATAAGTGATATGTACTAACTTATTATTATCATTTTTTTTTTTGCCTTCTCCTTTTAGTTTCTTGGCTTGCCTATTTGATTTGCTTTGTTGGGCCTCATTGTGTTGTTACCTTCATTGTCTTTTTCTAGGATATTGTTTAGAATTCGTTGTAGTACTGGGTTGGTATTCATAAAGTTTTTCAGGTGTTCTTTATCATGGAAATATCTCATTTCCCCACCCATTTTAAAAGAAAGTTTTGCAGGATACATCAATCTAGGTTGGAGGTTGTTTTCTTTTAGTACTTGAAATATCTCATTCCAGGCTCTCCTTAACCTAAGGGTTTGTGTTGAAAAGTCTGCTGTGATTCTGATAGGCTTTCCTTTGCATGTAATTTGTTTCTTGTCTCTTACTGCTTGTAGTATTTTGTTCTTCTGTTGGGTTTCTGGGATCTTGATTATTATATGTCTCGGTGTAGATTTTTTTTGATCACGGCTAGTTGGAGTCCTATAATGCCTCACTTATCTGTATATCAAATTCTTTCCCTCTGTTTGGGAAGTTTTCTATAATTAATTCTGTGAACAGCTTTTTTAAGTTATTTACATTTTCTCCTACAACTTCTTGAATTCCTATCAATCTTATGTTATTCTTCTTAGTATCATCTAAGAGTTGTTGTATCAATTTCTTATGGTCTCCTACTGTTTTTAAGAGACCTCTCTTTTTACGGTTACTGACTTCAATTTTATCTTCTATATCTGAGATTCTATCTTTGGACTCTTTTATTCTTTTGTGAACACTCTCAATGCAGTTTTTAATCTCCTGAATATCTGTTTGAATCTGTCCTATGGATTCCATTTCTTTCTTGTATTGGGCATTTATTGTTTCCAATTCTTTCTTATGCTGGGCATTCACGGCTTCTATCATGGTCCTGAGCTCATCTATTTTCTTCTCAGTTTCTGTTCTAGAGTCACAAATTATAACTTTCATTTTGCTGGTCATCTCTATGATTATCTGGGAAATTACTTCTGTTTTATATTTCCCTAGAGCCTGACTGATCAGTTTTGTTACTTCCTGTGCCTCGAGTTCAGGGTGTCCTGATGATTCACTATCAGACTTTTCATCCTCATCTGCCCCACTGTTTGCCATTAGTGAACTGGAAATCTGTCCCTGTATCTTACTTAAGCGTT